CAAACTCAAGTATGTCACACTGCTGTGTGTGTAATCATTTCTATGGCCAATATTTGTTCTTATCCATATTTTTTGATCTTTGTGTCTGGATTGTGCCATATATTTTATTATTAATCTTCCCCCATTATAACTAGTATGGATCATGGAGGAGAATTCAGGATTACCGCAGGACTACGCAAATGTACGTTCACACACACTCATATACACCCACGCACACACACATTGATTGTATATTTGTGATTGCTGTTGTTATAAATGTCTCTCTTCTTGTGTTCAGATGCCTGTGATCTTACACTTGATCCAAACACAGCAAATACTCATCTCATTCTCTCTGAGGAGAACAGAAAGGTGACACGAGTGGTAGAGAATCAATCATATGCTGATCATCCAGACAGATTTGATGTGCGTCCTCAGGTTCTGTGTAGAGAGAGTCTGTCTGGGCGCTGTTACTGGGAGGCTGAATGGAGTGGATATGCTGGAATATCAATGACATATAAGGGAATCAGCAGGAAAGGTTGGAGTCGTGACTGTGAGTTTGGATATGATAAAAATTCCTGGAGTCTGATCTGCTCTGATGGCACATTCATTGCTTTTCATAGTTATAAGCTAAACGTCATACGTGTCCCTTCAGAGTCCTCTAATAGAATAGGAGTGTATGTGGACATGTCGGCTGGCACTCTGTCCTTCTACAGAGTCTCTGACACAAACACACTCACACACTTACACACATTCAACAACACATTCACAGAGTCTCTTTATGCTGGATTTGGGTTTGGGTTTTATCATTTGAACTCCTCAGTATCTCTATATCAGATTGAAAAGTCTGTCAACAGAGACAGAAACCTTTTACGCACACCTGAATAAAAATACTCTCACTTTATATTGCTTTAATAATTGCATATACACTAAAGTATGTGTGTAGTCCTGTTGACCTTCACACAAAAACAGATTTCTATCAGATTATTACTTCAACATTTAAACCAAAATGTTGGAGTATTTTGACAAACAAAAAAGGAACATGCTTTTTGTAAAACACTGTTGTAGTTGTTGGAAGAGAATTAATTTAACT